CCTCCCCAGGTCAGCTCCCCTACAAGGTCTGGTTGATTGGCTACTCATATATCCACTGGGCGAGGCGGAGAGCAGCAGTCCGGCCAGGGGGGGAGCTTCTCGGTCTCACACCAGTAACTGTGGAGGTACGGTGGTTCGGGGTCAGAGGCATGAGGTGGGTCCGACTCCTCCCCGACTATGTCAGGCTTTCCCACTTGCTTGGGGCTCCATCGGTTTTGATTATCCATCTGGGGGGTAACGATCTGGGGACCGTGCCTGTGGGGGGCCTGGTGGACATGGTCAGGAGGGATTTGTCCCAGATCTTGATCTTGTTCCCCGACGCATCCTTGATTTGGTCGGAGGTAGTGGCGAGGAATTTTTGGCGGCAGGCCCACAGCCAGAGTGCGCTGGAGCGCAGCCACAAGAAGTTTAATCGGTGGGTTGCGAAGTTTGTAACGGGGTTTGGGGGAATCTCGATACGGCACCAGGTTTTTGAAAAAGATGCGGCACATTTTTTTAGACCACATGGGGTGCATCTGACGGAAGTCAGGCTCGACCTGTTTAACTTGGCGCTTCAAGAAGCTTTGGAACAGGCCATGGGGGATTTCGGTGAGGGCCCCGGAAAATTTTAGGCTTAAAACAGCAAGGTTTGTGGCGGGGCATGTCCTTGCCAAATAAGGGATGGTAGATTAGATGAAAAGGGGGATAATGGCCGGGTCTCATCCTCCCCCTGTCTCTTATGGTGAACATGGAGGAGGTACCAGGTTGGACGTGTCCCCACTGGGTTGTAAGTCGACCGGTGGGGAGCATTATGGTTGGGCCCCACCGAGCGGAAAATCGGCTGGTGGGGAGCCCTGAAAAGGAAGAGGCTTTATTATGCCGAGGGGGGGAGGTGAGAGCCTTGGGGAAGTTAGATTGGCAAGGATGGTTTTCTTGATTACTGTATAAAAAGTGTTTATGTTAATTTGTTATGTTATTTGTTTAAGGAGTTATACAGTATTTGGTGATGTTAATAAATGCTGTGGCCTGTTTTTCCCAAGAAGTTGTCTGTCGTTATTTGAAGGGGTAAGTTGTGGTTCTTATGAGGGGAATGCTATCCAATGCCCACTACGTACATACATGTACATGGACTGGGAATACAAAATAAAACAAGATATGATAGGCAAAACAAGAGGAGAAATAACTAAGTACTATATGTGAAAACTATGGGCATTTAGTTACAGTATATGATCATACATTGCATAAGCCTGCCACAACGCCAATGTACCCTATATTCGGCAGGTCCTACTCTGCCTAATGTTCGCTAAAAGAACCATAATAAAGCACATACAGCACTTACCTGCAAGAAAGGAGCAAATGACTTGAAGCCTGCGGGAACCAACTGAAACAAAAGGAACCATGGAAAAGGAACAGGTGTGGCAACATAAAACAAACATTTAAATTAATCCAAGAGACTGGGAATTCCAGGGACGGAATACAGGAATGAACCCAAAACCCAGCATAAAGAAAACCAGACACAGAATAGAAAACCAGAAAAACCAAGGAAAACTAAACAAGAATTGTAAAAAGAGTACTGGATACCAGAAGCCATGGTCAGACATCAGAACAGAGCAGAGCAGATCCTGACACAAATGGGATAGATAACAGGTGGAAATTCTAGGCAATTAGCAAGACACCCCCAATAAAGGAGTCGTTCTGCAGGTGGTGACCACAGACCACTTCTCAGTTTCTATGCTTCCTGGCTGATGTTTTG